CGGTCAGCAAGCGCCTCTTTGGAGAAGCCAGCGAAGACAACAGTGTGAACAGCGCCGATTCTGGGGACGGAGAGAGGAGAAGAGGGAGGAAGGCAGGAGGGTGGGAATCAGGGAGGTAGGAATGGCCGGCGTGTGGCGTAAGGATAGGACGCTTCGCAGTTGATTCAAAATGCAAAGAGAGACGTAGAAGGAGGGAGAAAGAGACCATGGGGGACTGGCTGGGAGGGGTGGAAGGAGGGAGGGAGGAAGGGAAGGAGGAAGGGAAGGAGGAAGGGAAAGAGGAAGGGACGGGGGAAGGGGGGTTACCTGGCACAGGCAAGCATAGCCAAGGGCAGTTCGGCCACCATGGGCAGGAAGAGCCCCACCGTGTCCCCTCTCTTGACGCCCATGGACTGAGGGAGGAGTGGAGGAAAGGGGGGGAAGGGTCATTGTGGGGCGGGGGGTACGCAGGTCGGGCGCGGGAGGGGCAGGGAACGGCCTGGGAAACCGAGGAAGTGGGAAAGAGAGAGGTTAATGAGGATACCTTCAGCACGTTCGCTATGCGCGAGACCTCCTCCAGGGCCTCTCTGTACGTGTATTGGTCCTTCAAACCCCCCGGGCCAGATTCCCTTATTGGCTCCAGGTCGTTCCTTTCTGTGTAGAAGGCGATGCTGGGGAGGGAGGGGAGGGGAGGGAGGAAAGGAGGGAAGGAAGGAGGGAGGGAGGAAGAGGGGGAAAGAGCACCGTTTGTTTGGTTGGAACCCCACGAGCGCTCCGTTTGTTACGAGAAAGACGCGAGAGTGGGAGGGGAAGGGATATGGAGAGGGACGCAGGATGGAATGTGGTCGAGGGAAGTGGAAAATATGAGGAAGAGAAGAGAGAAGAGGAGAAAACCCTACGCCAGGCAACCCAGCGGCAAGAAAAAAGAAAGGAGGGGGATGGAGGAAGGGAGGAACGGACGGAGGGAGGGAGGGAGGGGGGGGCACGCACCGGTCTCCCAGGCCGGCAGCGACGTGCCTGTCCA